TGACTGGTGATGATGATGATCATCAAACTCTCTCACGCGCACGCTCATCATCATCATATGTGAGTTCATGAGCGTGTGAGTGAGTGAGTGCTGATGAGTGAGTGAGTGAGTGAGTGAGTGAGTGAGTGAGTGAGTGAGTGTGTGAGGGATGATGAGTGAGTGAGTGAGTGTGGAATGAGTGATGATGATGGTGGGTTCGTGTTCCTGCAAGGGGTGGGGTGTCCAGAGAAAACAAAAACCCCATTGTGGATGTGGGGAACAATCGTAACAACAATATTCAGAACATAAGAAGACGAATGCTACTAATATTAGTAATGCGAATGATAATAATAGTAAGCATTATAACGTAGCACCCCGCAATTGCGGATAAGAGTGAGGGGGCGGGCGCGGGCGACGCGGGCGTCGAGCCGGCGGACTTCGCAAATACCAAAATCCTTCAAAAAACAATGGAAATTCAATAATTTTAGCCTCTTCGGGCCCTCCTGGAGGACCTCTTGGGGGCCTCATTGGCCGTCTTGGGCCACCTCGAGGCCATCCGAGGCCGTCTTGGGTGCATTTTGGGCCGTCTTGGAGGTATCTTGGTGCCATCTTAGCCGTCTTGGAGGCCATCTTGGGCCGTCTTGGAGCCGTCTTGAGCAGGAGAAACCTTTTGGAGCCGGGTCTGGACACTCCTTCCGGGACCCCGGCTGGACGCGCTGGAGGCCCAGGGGGAGTTCTTCTGGAAAAGAGCCAAAATCAAAACAGAAAGGATTCAGCACGCCAAGCACCCCTGCGATGAATCGACAGGGGGCGGCGGATTCTGTATCTGCAGACTCGCTGTGGGCTCCTGGACCGTTGAATCTTTCATAGCTGTCGGACCATCCTGGCATCGTAGTGGCATGGGGGCGCTTTCGGGGGACGGGGCGCCTCCTTGAGAGCCTCAGGGGGGGCTCGTGGAAGTTTTTTGGAGCGCTCTTGCGGCTCCCTGGGAGCCTCTTGGGACCTGTGGGGGGGGGTTTCCTCGGAGCAGCCGGGGGCCGTCATGGCGCCGAGTTTCGAAGTTTCCGTTCGGGCTCCTCCTCGGGATTCTTTCATCGGACCGTCCTGGAGCTGTCGTGGGCTGTTTTTGGCGGCTTATGTGGCCGTCTGGGGGTCTTGTGGATCCGTTTTGGAGCCTTCCGGGAGGCCTTTACGAGATCCCGTGGTACATCCCAGGAACGCGTTTCGGGCACCAAGCACTCACTGTTGGCACGGAGCAGCGCTCACAAGGAACCGTGGCCAGGATGGGGGAAGGGGGCGGCAGAAAGCTACAGATTGTCGGCCTCAGATAGGGTCCCAACGGTCGGCGTATTTCGGTGCGGTGTGGGCGGCAGCAGAAGGAACAGGAGGAAACGCAAGAGGAATGGGGGGAGGAAGGAGGAGGAGGAGGAGGAGGAGGAGGAGGAGGAGGAGGAGAGGAGGAGAGGAGGAGGAGGAGGAGGAGGAGGAGGAGGGAGGAGGAGGGAGGGAGGAGGAGGAGGAGGAGGAGGAGGGAGGAGGAGGGGGAGGAGGAGCAGGAGGAGGAGGATGACGAGTGGGGGAGGGGGAGGAAGAGAAGGAGGAGGAGGAGGAGGAGGAGGAGGAGGAGGAGGAGGGGAAGGGAAAGGAATACTTTTAGTAAGAGTGGCAATAAGGGACAATATTAACACTACTGATAGTCATGCTACGAGTATTAATGCTACTACTAGTACTTACAATGTTCGTAATGCTGACTCCCAGCAACACAAGAATAGGAATCAGACAAGTAGGCATTCCTTGACTACAATTACTAGTAATGTCATTACTATCCTTAACCGTAATTCCACTACCATTCGAATTGTTAATATACAGAATACTACTACTACTAATAATACTAATAATAATAACCATAGTGACGGCACTAAGAATAATACCACCACTAATATTATATTTCAGCGAATATGAGGGCACACAGGAAGTCATCGTAAAGCGAATAATAGTAATACGAAGAAGGGTCATGCGGATGCGAATGACAATCTTGCGAATGACACCACGAATACGGATACACATAACAAGAAGGGGAGGGGTAGGAGGAGGAGCAAGAGGGCAGGATGAGGAAGAGGATGACGACGACGAGGGCGAGGAGAAGGCTGACGACGGGGTGGACAGGTCGGACCAGGAAGAGGAGGAGGAGAAGGAGGAGGAGGAGGCTGAATCGCTCAAATATCCTTGATACTGTGATCTTCCCAGTTGGCAGGCGTACGGATGCTTCGGTACCTGCAAGGGGAAGCCCACGAAATCCCCGTTTGTCGTTGGACCGCCTTTCGCGTTTTCCCACCAGAGCGGTACCCTGAAGTGCAAGTCGTATGCGTGAGGCCCGCTGAAGCGGTTGTGGCAGCGCGCGAGTGCTCGGGCCGCAGGATGGAACAGGAGGAGGAGGAGGGGGATGTGGAGGTGGAGGGGGAGGAGGAGGAGGAGGAGGAGAGAGGAGGAGGAGGAGGAGGAGGAGGAGGAGGAGGAGGAA